CAGGGCCTCACATACCTTAACAGCCCAGGAACTCGGATGGGCTAAAGATGACCTGTGACACCTGATTCTCCTGGAGTTACATCTCATGTACTGAGGATACAAGTCTTTGTTACCACCATTGGCTCACATTGTCATTTTTAATTCTGTCTGTGACTAGTCCCATGTTAATTTTCATTGTTGATTGTTGAGACATTTACAGCACAAAAATTTCAGCTAAGAAATTTATGTGTTAGTTTTGGGGACTAGTTTAAAATTCATGGAGTTAAAGACAACTTTACAGTGTAGGTTTTATATTATATCTCCTTTCTAGCATATATTTTCACAGGAAATTACTGAACTGATAGGATGTAGGGTAATTATCTTTTTTGTGTCCCACTACCCTACAGCCTTAGAAATATTAGAATTCTAAAATTTACAATAAGAATTCTAGGAGGCAATTTGTTAATGTTCACTTTTAACACTAAAACTTTTGACTGATAGCATTGTTCAATTACATATTTTCAGAGAAAAGAACCAGCTTCAATAATGAAAAGTGCCAACTAGACATGACAAGATGTCATGATACACTATTGACAAATGTTTATGTATCAAATTCTTTAAATTTTACAGACTAATTTCCTAATCCATTAATTGTAGTAACATACGCAGAGTTTTATTTAATAGGTATCATATATTGTTATTTAGTGAAAGTTTTAAATTAAATTAAATTATGCAGTTACTGAAAGCTTAAGTATTTCATACACCTTATATCACAGTAACTAAACTCCACCTGTGCAGGTTCCAGACAAATTTAATTAAAATACTGAAAGTGTCGGGTCATTGAGCATTAGCAAAAAATAATTTACTATTGCAAATACTATTTCTACTTAATAAAAGTATTACAGGGCTAAGGATGTAGCTGAGTGTAAATTCTAAATTTGATACTCGATCCTACAAAAATCTATTCAAAAGTAAAGTGATTATATTTGTGTTGTTTTTACAAATCAAATCTTTTACTTTAGTTTTCCCAGCCAGCCAGCCCACAACTGTCCTACCAATGTTAACACTTTTTAAGGTTCAGGAATCAGGTTCTTCATCAGTACAACATAAGCCCAGAAAAAAGACCTGGAAGAAAATTAGAATTAGAGACCCTAGAATTCACAGAATTTTCAATGTTGTGTCTGGTGGCAATCCATGTGCGGTCTATGACTTCAGAACCTGAGAGTTCTAGTAAGTTGAAATTCAAGAAGGAGGGATGATCTAGGAGTTAGACTAGGAAGCCCCTTCAATATTCAGTAAGAGGGGACAGTCTCAGGAAACAGAGGGCTAGACCTGCTTATCTCAGGAAATTTCATACCAAAAATCAATTTGAAAAAAATATACAGCCAAAGTTCAGGTATTTGGGAGGCTAATACTTCCGTCATACAAAGGGACAGTACAAGAAAGACAGGGAAAAATTCACATGATACCTCAGGAGAGACTATTACTCCCTACCGTCTAGACACATTTTAAATACTGCCTCCATTGTGACCAAGAGGAATAGAAGTCAGACTTTCTACAATCCTGTGAGTGGAAGCATGGCATCTTGTGGAAGATGATAAGCTAATGCAATCCTGAGAAGCTTAGTGATAGAAATGTGAAATGAGAACAAGAAAGAAAACAAACTATCTGCACAGACAGAAGGGTATGTCACCCCTTAGGGAGAAGAACCGAAAAATCCCAAACATATTGTCTGATGAACAGGTCAGTACAGAATTGATATCTACAATGATTAGTGTTCATCAATGGACATTGTCTCCAATATGCTCAGTTTTGACATATCCCTTTCACATTTTTTAGTAAACTTGCAAATGAAAATGGCTAAAGGGAACAAATAATTTTGGCACTTGCCTATAAATATTTAGAAAGGATACCTCAATTTGGGATAAAGTGAATACACTAATTCATTGTTCTTGTAATCTTCATTGTTTCCATTTGTAAATTCAGGCAGATTATATGGGTTGGTATGCTGCTTTTAGAATATATTTTCATGATATATGCTTGCCACAGCTTATAATTATTTTAAAATAACTTGCAGGTGTAGCTGCTGTAATTTTGCACATAATCAAATATATCTTAAATTTTGTTATATTTTGATTTTTTTTAACTACAGAAAATAAAAATATAAAACTCTTTCTTAACCATGGAAAAATATTTGACTTTGCTATGTAAATTGGAAGAAATATAAGTAAAATGTAGACCTATTTTTTGTTGCAAATAACTCTGTAAATAATTGAGACATAATTTTTATTAAATCAGAATATTTATATTACACCATTTTATTTTGTATTATTTTATGTGTATGAGTGTTTTGCCTGTTTGTATGTCTGTGCACCACATGCATGCAGTACCCGTAGCTGACAGAACAAGGTGCTGAATTTCTCTGTAACTAGAGTTGAAGATGGTTGTGAACTGCCATGTGGGTGGGTTTCTAGGGACTGAATACTGGTCCTCTAGAAGAACAGTGAGTGCTCTTAACCACTGAGGCATTTCTCTAGCCTCACATGGTTTATTGGCCCACTGTGAGGTTATAGTCTAACATAACAGATAAGGCATGACAGGCACCTGGCACATGATACTGCTGGTCACAGGACATACATACCAGGAAGCAGAAAGAAATGAATACTTGTGGTTCAGTACAATTTCTTCTTTTTATTCAGTCTAGGACCACAGCCTATGAAATGGTCCTGTCCACATTTATGGTAAAGCCTCTCACATCAATTAACCTGATCTGGATAAATCCTAGACATAACCAGATATTTGGCCTCATGGTGATTCTAAATTTCACCAAGTTGACGATCAAGGATGACTATAACCCCTGATATCTTAAAAAAAATGACTTAGAAGGAAAGACATTTGGCGTATGGTTTTAAAGGTTTAGTCCATGGTCATTTGGCTGCGTTGTTGCTGAGCCTCTGGTGAGCCAAAGCATAATGACCAGAAAGCAGAGAGAGGAGCAGATGGTGTTCCAGTATGCCTGCTGAGGACAGGCCCATAGTGACTTACTTCCTCTAATTTCTTAGTCTCAACCACCTCCCAGTAATGACGCCAGCTGGCAACCAACCTTTTAAAGATGCTCTGAATCCAAATTGTAATGCAAGCCTGATAGACTTTGAGAGATGACTTGTCTTTATGTACCTAAGCACATTCTGTGCATGGGAAAGTCAATGTGCTTTTGAACTTGATGAATGCAATCCAGGGGCTTTGTATCTTAGTAGATATATACAATTCAATAAAAACAGCATTCGCTTTCATACTAGGAATATGCTTTTTCATTATAGTTTACATGTGTGAGTCATGTAAGGATAACAAGTTTTTGTGCAGACTTTCACAGATGTAAAATACCTGCTATTTACAAAGGTAACTTTTTTTTTTGGAATGTGCTTACTGTTAAACCTGAAAATTGTGAGGAGAAAGACCAAATCTACGGTTGTCCAATCAAAACAAGCTTTAGTAAATCATGGCCAGAAAGATAGACACTGGCCAGGTCCATACCCAGGATTCCCAGAGGATTGTCAGGTGCTGATAAGGGCAAAACCCACAAGACTACCTTCATCCAATCAGAGGCAAGGATACATCTTTATGTACTTTCTGCCTACACACCTCCTCCTTATATGTGATCAAGCTTATACTGTGCAATTTGGTTAACCGACATTCTTTTCTGAAGTGAAAACTCAGGATTTGTTATATTACATGAACAACAAAGAACAGCCTTCAACATTCAAGGAAGTCATCTGTTTTTGGACAAGGAGAGCATGCAGATTAACTTTAGACCTCTTCATTATTTCATCTTAGTTTATCAAAATGCCCAGTACAATACTTGAGAGTAAATCATGTTAGACACTAGTGGTCATTTCATGGTCTAGGTCCTATCCATAATTCAATGTTTATTTGTCCTGGATCTTTAGTTCTTTCAAATCGAGAAGTTTTCAGTTCTTCCCTTCTTTGGTATGTCATCTTATCTATTGCCAACCCTTTATTTTCAAATTCTATTACTTTGAAACAAATGGAAATTATCATAATTTCTACATGTCAGGAACCTGGGATCAGTCTTATTAGCTGATTTTAGGTTGGAGTCTACTAAGGGATGTTGATTTGCAGGTTAGTCATCTGAAGGACTGCTGGAGATTGGATAATCCTCCTGCAAAAAAGTATATTTATTAATTTGCTCATCAAAAAGAAACACGTCATTCCTTAGTGTGTGAGAGTACATAAGGCTTGATGACAGAGTGATTGTTACAAAGAGCTTGAAAGAGAAACCACATTAAAGCCATAGTGCTTTTATGAAATAAATTTGAAAGTGGTCATACAGACAAATTGATCATGCCAATTTTATCTTCAAAAGACTTACCACAGGCCAAAGTCCATGTTGTGTTTACTAAAGCAGTTGATGGAGGAAAGGCTTAGGGTTCTTCCTGCACAGGAGGAAATCTCAAAAGTATGTGCACAGATTGAGGCAGGCTCACTGGAGTAAATAATCTTGACAACTGGCTATGGCACATGACGTTAATGTTTGGAAAAGGATGGGCTGATTATTTTCTAAAGTAGCCCTCAATTTTGGTTTTTCAAATATATCCCATAATTTATAAGGATATTATACAATTTTGGAAACAGTAACATAGTAATGGTGTCATGTTCTTCCAGGAGTATCAATCATATGAACAAGCATGTGTCTTTATGTGATGGTACTTGGGTAAGCTGGTTAAGATGTATTTCTGACAGCACTGACCACTGTGGGCTTACTTGTCTGCTTGTTATTAAGAAATATATCTTACAAAGATACTTAGAGATGATACAATTATCTCTTAACAAACACATGACTACTTATTTGGGCATCCTTTTTAAAGTTTTTGTCTGCATTTATATTTTCACCATCATTTATCATTTATTCCTATCATTTCTTGAAAGTATATTAACAAGGATTTTGCTCTACAAAAATGCTTGTAAGCATAGATTGAGATTTATTGATTTTTCCCTTGTTT